AGCCCCAAAAGCACAGATGGCCCTGAAGTTCTGTGATGTTGGTTCCAACTCTGCCACTAACTTGGGTAGATCACATTTGAGACCTTGGGTTACTCACCTGTGAAATCGGGGTGTTGAACTCAGCGATATCCAAGGTCATTTTTTCATTTAAACCTCCTAGACTAAGATCCCAGAGGTGTGAGTCCACTGTTGGATGAAGATGACTGACCTGAGTCCCTTGAGCCTCACTTGAAGGTGATGAGATACAGCACACTGGAGGCAGATGGTCAGACAGGCCTGGGTTAAAAGACCAGTGTAGGTTCCTTCCTGGTGGTAAAAGCACCTTGGGTCTCAATTTACCCATCTGTGAAATGGAGCAAATACATCCAGCCTCACAGAGTGCTTGTAAGGATCAAAACCAAAGTCCTCACCCTGGCCTAGCAGGTCCTGTGACCTCTTCCCCCCACCTCTCAGACCTCAATTCCTGGGCTCTTGTTCATCCACTCTGCTCTGTCCACATGCTCCTGCCTCAGGGCCTTTGCACCTGCTCATCTGTCTTCGTGGTTAACCTTTCTCCGGGTACCAATATGCTCCCTCCCTCATCTCCTCCAAGTCTTTACTCAAATGTCACCTTCTCTTAGGGCCTAACCTGACTGCTCCATTTAAAACAGCAGAATTGGGAGAGTAAGAATGGTATATATATATAATGGGTTTCCCTGGTAGCTCAGGTGGTAAAGAATCCACCTGCGATGCAGGAGACCTCAGTTCGATTCCTAGGTCGGGAAGATCCCTTGGAGAAGGGATAGGCTTCCCACTCCTGGATTCTGGGGCTTCCCTGGTAGCTCAGGTGGTAAAGAATCCACCTGCGATGCAGGAGACCTCAGTTCGATTCCTGGGTCAGGAAGATCCCCTGGGGAAGGGGTAGGCTTCCCACTCCTGGATTCTGGGGCTTCCCTGGTAGCTCAGGTGGTAAAGAATCCACCTGCGATGTAGGAGACCTCAGTTCAATTCCTGGGTCAGGAAGATCCCCTGGAGAAGGGATAGGCTTCCCATTCCTGGGTTCTGGGGCTTCCCTGGTGGCTCAGGTGGTAAAGAATCCGCCTCCAAGGAGGGAGACCTGGGTTCAGTCTCTGGGTTGGGAAGATCCCCTGGAGACGGGAACGGCTCCCCACTCCAGTATTCTGGCCTGAAGAACTCCATACAGGTCCATGGGGTTGCGGTCCATCTATTTTATTTTAATGCATAAGATAGATAACTAATGAGAACCTCTTGTATGACACAGAGAGCTCTACTCAATGCCTCGAGGTGACCTCGATGGGAAGGAAACTCAAAGAGAGGGGACACATGTATCTATGCATCTGATGCACTTCGCTGTGTAGCAAAAAAAAGGACATAACAATATAAAGCAACTATATTCCAATAAAAATTTTTAAAATTAAAAAATTTCCGCATCTCTCTTCTCACTCACCTAAGCCGTCCCTAATCCTGATTCTGCTGCACTTCTCTCCATGAGCCTTATCACCCTCTGACATCCTATGTATCGTCTATCTCTTCTCACTAAAATACTGGCTTCATGAAAGCAGCCAGCTGTTTCCCTGCAGTGTCCCCGACACCTAGAACAGTTCCTGACGCACATTAGGTGTTTACCAAATACTTCACAAATAAACACATGGATAGGTGTATGTATCCAAGGAATACATATTTTTTCCCTTCTCTTCTCCTTTAAAACTAGTTTCACCAGTAACGGAACACGTGCTGAGAGCCAGGGCCTGTGTTCATTGTGCCCCCAAAGGTGCCGTTGCTGACACCTGGAGCTTCAGCGCCTCGGTCCCCAGTCCCCTCTCCACCTGCCGTTTTTCACATCCCTGGTTCGCCCCAAACCAGTCTCTCAGATGTGTTCATGGAACCAGTGAATCTTTTAATTAAAACAGTCTGCTGTGATGAATCTGTTATTACAGAGCCTTACCTATGTAAAACATTAATAATACAAATTTCATTTGTTTATGTCAGTGCCAAGCATTAATTTTTAATAGCAAAATGTATGAGTTATGAAAGGCATTAATGCAAACCAAATCACCAGCTGAGGATGAAAAGGAAATCTATTTTTTAGGGTAAGCAGTGGCGATGAAATATTATTGTGGCTTCCACGCAAGAGCAAGAAAAAAAATATTACTTCACCCTTCAGCAATAATTAAAAAAAAAAAAGACCCAGGTGAAAAAAGAACTTTATCATCACCTCAGCATTAGTTCTAAATTGGAACAGAGAGCTGTCTCTTTTATCTTATGGGGTCTCTGGTGGTAATTTCAAAGCAGGAAGTTTATGCAAAATTGTCCTAATTACCCACCCCAGTCACATTTATATTTCTATGGTAAAATATTAATAATAATTTATTACATTTGAACAGCATGGTATAGTTCATGAAGCACTTTGATTCATTATCTTGATTGATCCCTGCAACTCTGCAAGACAGCTGGACGTATGCCCATTTTACAGATGAGCCCACTGAGGCACAAAATGGTTCAATGGCAGGACTGGGATTGTAGTTAGTACATTTAGTGAACAAATAAAGGAAGGTGGGTAAGAAAAGGCAAGAAGGAAGGAAGGAAGGGAGGACAATTGGAGGGCAGGCTGGCTAGAGGATGAGAGGGAGAGAGAGGGAAAGGAAGGGAGGATGGAGACAGGAAGCCCAATTAAGGCTCAGGTGACTCACTATCTGCCACACCTTCCCTTCTGCAGATCCATTCTGGCCCTCCTCTGCCCCACTTCTAGGGCCCAGGAAGCTCACAGCTGAGGGCTTTTCCATCAGCTTTCCTCCTCCCCGCATTCAGCCCCTGGGAGCCCCACCCCCAGGAGATCAACAGGTGGGAGGAGAAGGAAACAGACACTGTTCTCGGGCCCACCGCCCCGACCCCCTCTTTTACCACCACCCACTAGCAACGGCTGAAAAGTGGAAGTCGCTAAGTGGTGTCTCACTCTTTGCCACCCCGTGGACTATACAGTCTATGGAATTCTCCAGGCCAGAATACTGGAGTGGGTAGCCTTTCTCTTCACTGGGGGATCTTCCCAACCCAGGGATTGAACCCAGGTCTCCCTCATTGCAGGTGGATTCTTTACCAGCTGAGACACCAGGGAAGCCCAAGAATGCTGGAGTGGGTAGCCTATCCCTTCTCCAGGGGATCTTCCCGACCCAAGAATCGAACCAGGGTCTCCTGCATTGCAGGCGGATTCTTTATCACCTGAGATACACACACACAATTCCCGCTTCCACCAGGTTCCCCCAGGAACCCTCTGTCTTCCCCTTGTCCCTTCATCCCCAGAGATGCTAACAGCACCTCAAGTGATGCTAATCTCTGGGTGCTTCAGTTCCCCTCATTCTCCCTCTTATCCGGGCTCACACCTTTGTGAGTGGCCCCTGCTGCAAAGTCTTCAGCTGAATCGTCCAGAATACTCTGGGGTGACTTGTCATTCCTGCTTGGAACCTGACCTATATAGGCATGAGTTCTCTCACCCCACTATCTAGATGGAATTGGATCAATATGGACACTGGTCAAAAAATTTAAAAAGATCAGCTATTGTTTTCCTGGAGCTTCTCACTTCACTAAAGGGTGTTGCAGTCAGTTATCTCAAAACCAGTATTTGAGTTCATGGCCTCTGCCTTTAGATCCTGTCACATTCTGATGGTCATCTAGAACAGTGGGAGGCAAGTACTACCCTTATTGAGAGGGTATTAACAGCACAACAGAAGTCAGAGCCTTTTGCACAAAGAGGATGGGGAGGATACTAGTGTTTGACACTTAATTGTTCAAATATTTATAAATGTACACATGTACCTTCTCAAGTAGCATGTATATGTTTACACATCAATCTGTTAAATAGATATATCATCTCCATTTGTAGGTGAGGAAATTGAGGCTCCAGAGCTGTGGCTAGCTTGCTTTTCTAAGGCCATTTCTTATTATTATTATTATTATTATCAAAATTTGTCTTTTATGGAGTGCTGCTTCTTGAGTAACATGTTGAATTATCATCACATTTAGTCCCCTCAACAACCTACAGGGTAATTCTACTTATTCCCATTTCACAGATATGGAAACTAAGGCTTAGGTCAAGGAAGAATACATCCACTGGAGCCCAGGCTTGCCAAGTCTAAAACATGTGCCCCATTCTGTGATGCTACTGTCATCCTGATGAAGCAAGGCCACTGGGCTGCCCCTCTTTATCTCACATGTAGCCTCTGCCACAAAATAATAAGCACTCATTCATTCTCAGCCACCCCTGGAATCTCCATCACACTGGGTCTGACCACTCCCCAGGCTCAGGTGGAAGACTACGTTCTCTGTTATCTGCCTTCCCCACTCACCAGCCTCTTCTCTTCTCGGATGCCGGTGGCTCTTTTTAATTTCACTGAAGACTGAAGCCAAAGATAAAATCCTAAGATGATCAAAATAATTATTCCTGGGAAAGAATTAATCCTGTGGCCCTTCAAGCCTGATAGATTTTTAAATTTTTAATTTTAAAAGTAAGGCACTGACACCGCTATAATATCAGTGGTACAGAAGGGGAGCAAGTAAAAAGCGAATGCCCCTCTCCTCTCCTCTGGCTCCCAAACCCATTTCTCAGCGGTAACCACACACGGACTTTCTGTTTTGACCCCCACAGCAATTGTAATGTGTTTGACGCAAATGGGATTAGGTTAGACAAACTCTTCCACGGCTTGATTTTCTTCCTCCGACTATGTATCTTAGACAGCCTTCTCTGCCAGTGCTTGGGTGGCATTTATTCATTCATTAGCTATTTATGGAGCACTGCACTCTGCCAGGCACACTGGCGAATGACTCAGTCTTTACCTTCATCATCACCTTCATATGAGCAGCTGACACATGCTACGCCCTTCACATTGACTTTCTTTTATTACCAGAATGACCCATGACTTGGGTACTGTTAACACCTGCGTTCTCAGAATGGGAAATAGAGGTGTTAAGAAGTTAACTAACTCACATAATGTCACGTCACCTCTTAGGTGCTGGTGGATTCGGGATTTGAATCTAATTCCAGATCTCAAGTTCTTAAGCAAACCCTCAGTTCTTATCTGCATTGAGTTCACCATCTCAGAGGTAGAGTTGGGGGACAATATAATAAATCCATATGCTTGCTAAGTCACTTCAGTAATGCCCAACTCTGTGTGACCCTATGGACTGTAGGCCGCCAGGCTCCTCTGTCCGTGAGATTCTCCAGGCAAGAATACTGGACTGGGTTGCCATGTCCTCCTCCAGGGGATCTTCCCAACCCAGGGATTGAACCCGCGTCTCCTGCATTGCAGGCAGATTCTTTACTGCTGAGCCACCAGGGGAGCCCCACTAAATCCAGAGGCAAATTCTACCTAAAGAGAATTAGCAGGTTGCCCAATAGTACTTAGAACACTTATGATAATTCATTTAGTCGTTTCCCTGCTGGTGGACATTGAGGACATTGACAAGCATGACTCCAAACAACATACAGTGAACATCCCAGGCCACCTGGCAGTGGGCAGCTAGAGGTGTAAATTAAGTTCCTAAAAGTGGAGTTACAGAAGCAAACAGCACATGCATTCTAAATTTTGATAGGTATTGCCAAATCACCCTCCAAAAAGCGATGTCCATTTGAGAGTCTGCCTGGGTGCATGAGGACCCATTTCTGCATTCTCACCAGGATTGGCTATCAGGGATTGCTTTCACCTTTCGTGAAAAACGGAATTTCATTTCTGTTGTTATTTTCATTACTCTTCCTCTGAGTGTGCTTCTGTGTATTTATTTACTGTGGTTACTTCTTGACTCGGACTCGCTATCTTGGGGGAGAGAGTGTGGCCTAATGGAAAGAAACGGAGATCAGAACACAAGAGATCTGGGATGTAGTCTCAGTAGCAAGAGGTACTGGCTGGGAGGTCGTGAGCATGTGGCAGATCTCAGGGCGGGGATCCTGGAACAGAGGAGGACCGTGGCCGTGAGGACCCGAGAGGGACTTCCACCCCAGGCTGCCGGCTCAGCGGGAGGATTCACCCACACCACATGAGGCACGCCCGAAGCCTAGAAGATGCATTTGGGATAGGGTGCATTGACGGGGGTAGGGGGTCTGCTGGGGTCCCTCACATCTACTCTGAGCTTACAGCGCACAAGCTGATCCACTCATCATCAACTGAGATGAGGGAAGCACACTCCCTTCTCGTCCCTGCCCCTACTACGGCTCCAGAGGGAACCACGCGGGGAGAGAGAGCAGGTCTGCGTGAGCACGTGGACCTCCCCTTCACACCCTGCCCAGACCTCTGAGATCTCAGCTCTTGGCAGTTTAGGGTTTTAAAGCAAGCTTTGAAATCTAATATGAGTTTGGAATTTTTTAAATACGCAGATCTGAATCTTGATGATAAAAATAAGACTAATAAAGACCGAAAGTAACTGACAGTCTTGGAATCCACTCGAGCTGTCTGCACAAGAGTCCTCGGCTCAGCGCACTGCAGGGACGCGGCGGGCACAGCTGGTGGCCGCTAAGGGGGGAGTGTAAGCATCTCATATTTATATTCCAACCCGCTAAGACTCTTCATTACTAGTAAATAATGAGAGGATTGACTCAGCCGATCTTTTCCACTTCTCTAATTCTGAGATTACATGATTTATTCATTCATTCAGCACGCATTTGAGAGGCGCTTGGGCACCGACAGCTGTGCTAAGCCATAAGCAATTCTCGCCATCCTCCAGGAACCCTCCACCAGCGGGGAAGGCGGGGGCTCCGTGATGGGGGTGCAGGCACAGAGGTGTGAGTGAAGCCACACCACGCGGGGAGCCGCACGGAGGTGTCAGAGACGGCCTTTGGGAGGAAGGCGCAAAAGGAGTGGGAGGAGCATCAAAAAAGGTGGGAAGAGCTCTGGGTGAGGGAAAGGGGAGTGCTGGTCAAGAATGGAGCTGTATCCAAGTCCTGGTGACCTTGTCTTCTGAAAGGCCTTTTCCTTTAGTATCCCACGCCTTCTCTTTCTCCAAGTGCTGTCTCAAGAGTTCATGGTTAGGAAATCCGGTGATACAGAAAGAAACAAGAGCTGTTAGGCTTAAAAATAAGTAACAATTTGGAATAAAAATCAGCCCCATGATAGAATCAGGGACCCCCACCCACCAGTTCCATGAAAGATACAGATAAAGGCTGGACAGATATTCCCAGACCCCCACCAGATGGAAACTGCTGACGGCAAGAATATAGACCTGAGACCAGTTGAAACCAGAAGGTTAATGATGCTTGAATACTTCACCTTGATGCCAACCAAGCCGAGAATTGTGCAAGAGCTGGTCATGCAGCTGGCAGTCCCCTCCCTCACACTGCCTTTATTTTTCAATTTATTTATTTTAATTGGAGAATAATTACTTGGCAATATTGTGATGGGTTTTGCCATACAGCAACATGAATTGGCCACAGGTATATCTCACACTGCCTTTAAAACCCCTTCCCTGAACTCCATCAGGGAGTTCGGGTGTTTTGAACATGAACTATATCCATTCTCCTTGCTTGGAGCCCCGCAGTAAACACGGAATTTTTTTCACCACAACCCAAAGTCAGTAGCCTGGCTTTACTGCACACTTGGGCAAGAGGACTCAAGTTTGGTTTGGTAACAAGAAGTGAGGAGGGACTATTCCAGGCAGAAAACATTTGGGATCTGGCAGGGAGATCTGACTGATGCTCAGAGGAACTGCACAGAGGTTAAATGGTGGGAGCAGGTGAGGGAGATGATCCCACAAACAACAGAGTGGGAAGGCAGGCATAGGAGCTCAACTTGGTCCCCAGGATAACGAGGAGTCATAGGAAGTCTGGGGGCAGGGATGTGTCTCGGTCAGAATGTGTTTAGAAAGATGACTCTGGATCAAGTCTGCTGAGCACATTGCAGGGGCTGGAAAGAGGACAGAGCCAGACCAGTGTGCGCTTCCAACATCTTGGTGTCTAGTCCCCCAAGGAAGCAGGGTCAGGAAAGCACCCTTGTATACCTTTGCTCCTGGCCCCACAAGCAACAGCGCCATTTCCCCTTCTTTGCAGAGGTGCTATCCCAGCAGAATGGGGTCCTGCCAAGAGGTCCAGCCTGAAATAGGAGGCATGGTGGGATGAGGTGGGGCAAGAAGCTCGTGGGTCTCATAGCTGTTAATTCTGTCATACTGATTTTCTCCCAGAACATAACAGACAGTAACGCTGAGGAGGCTCCCTACATACAACACAAGCTCCAGATTTGCCGAGCAACAGTGCTGGCATCTTCCATGAAAAATTATGTCCAGCACAGCACAAGAGGTGAATGCCAACCTTGGAGCTTGTGGCAAAACCCTCTGGAGAAAGGGAAAAGCATCGCCCTTTGGGGAATGTGTTCAGACCAGTACCCTCCATAATGGAAAGGAGAGGGGATACAGTTTTCATGAAAGCTGCTGGTACTAGTTCAGAGACAGAGAAATCTGGGAACCACTGAATGTGGTTCTCTTTTCCAAGTTTAAGCAGTTAGATCATAAACAGCCCACAGGATGGTAAGAATCTGGACATGCTTCTGCGGCATCTTCATCTTGTACCCCCAACACTGTCCTAGGACAGGAGACTGTGGTCCTACGCTCTCTGAGATCTCCAGGTGGCTACCTCTTCTGCTCAGCACAGACCCCCACCCTTCACACTTTCTCTCTTTCTCCTTGTTCCTTTTAAACTCTTTTCTTCAATGCCCTCCCATCCCCTAAATAATTCCTATTCACCTTGTGTGCATCAATTGTCAATAATCTTCAGTCATATTTGGTTCTTTTGCAGGATATGGTTCTCAGGCCACAAGGGCAGAAGAGAAGAAGTGTATTCATTTCCCAGGGCTGTTAGAATAAATGATCACAAATTGGGTGATATTTAAATGTATTTTCTCCCAGCATTGATGTCAACATATTGACAGGGCCATGTTCTCTCTGAACATACTAGAAGAGAATCTTCCCTTGGTCCTTCCTAGCTATTGGTGGCTCCTGGCAATCCTTGGCATTCCTAGGCTTGTATCTGCCTCCCTCAGGATGGCCAAGCTGGTTGGCCTGAGATTGACTCCTAAGCTGGCAACTGCCATCGCAAAATCTCCAGTAATGCCCACTCCTGTCAACCTCGGTTTCTTCACCTGTGACTGGGGTGCTGCCCTGGGTGTCTGTGAGGATCAAACGAGATCATGTATTTTTAGGATGCATTGACACACCTGCCCTATTCCAGAAAGGATTTGCGGCACTTGTGGGATAATGTGACCCCAGCAGGTAGCGTATCACCCAGCATGTACAAGGTCTCCATTCACATGAGCCTTCCTTCCCAAAGAAAGTGAAAGTGAAGTCGCTCAGTCGTGTCCGACTCTTTGTGACCCCGTGGACTGTAGCCCACCAGGCTCCTCCCTCCATGGGATTCTCCAGGCAAGAGTACTGGAGTGGGTTGCCATTTCCTTCTCCAGGGGATCTTCCCAACTCAGGGATTGAACCGGGGTCCCCTTCATTCCATGCAGACGCTTTAACCTCTGAGCCACCAGGGAAGCTCAGCAGTTCAGTCTAATTCAATGTGAAGAGAATGCAGCGGCCCAAATGAATTAGGCAAATACAGATACTTTTAGAGAAAAAGTAGTCTTAACCAACGGATCACCTATCCAGCCCATAAAAAAGAGTAACTTTGGAAACTGGGTAGCAGTATGAAGATGTTATGATGCAAGTAAAAAGGGCCGTGAAAACAACATTTTAAAGGTGAGGAAGGCAGTGAGTAACACTGCGTGTACATTAGGTTTCACAAAATATGTTGATCTAACGAGATGGCAAAATTTTTACTTCCCCTCTCCCTATCCCTACCAGAATTATTTTGGTGAGAAAATGGCATTTGTTTGGGCAAGTTACTTGGGGAGAAATGGGCTAAATGTGGGAATCCACCTGGGTGAAACAAGGGGAAACTTTCCTTGAGGCTCCAAGAGCAGATGGTCCTAGAGGCGGAGTTGAGGAGGGAAGGGAGAGGAGAGGGAGCGGGGAGACAGGCAGGGACCCCCTGCTGTAGGAGGTGGGAGACCTTCCCACGAGCCCCCACGCGTCAGTCACGCTACCAACTCCTGCACAAGCGATAGGGCGGGGCTTGCTCAAGCGCCGAGGAAAGTGGCTGGACTTTGGGCTCAGACAGATGCGAAGAAAAATGAAAATCAAGTGTACGAACGGAGAACAGGAGCAGAGCAAAGCCAGGGAGCAGTGCACACGGAAACTCTCCGCAGCCGGGGGAGGAATCTGCACACTCCTACCCTGAGTCAGGGCATCAGGAGGACGACGCGGACCTCCGGGTTACCTTTGCCTACGTGCACAAAGATAGAAAGAAATGAAAATGGGTAGTACGTCATGATAGAAAATTGTAGTTGATTTTTTTCTTAAGTTAGAAAGTCATTTATGGGCCCTGCAGAAATTTTGAAAAATACAGAAAAGCACAAGAAAGAAAAACCACTCTTGGTATTTCACTGTCTGTCATTCAAGCCCTCCCACATGTGTTTACTTGCACCCAGACTCCCACATACATAGGTATGCACACACACACACACACACACACACACACACACATGTATTAGGCCACATACACCAGATTTTCTGCCCTCCACTTTTTCTACCTGACCACATAATATGAGCATTTCACAAGGCATTAAATTTCTTCCTCTAGTTCACTGTTAATGCTACATAGTATTCCACATGATGGTAGTACATCATTTAACCACTCTCCTGATTTTGGAATTCACTCTTCTAAATAAAGTCCCAGTAAATGTCCTTACACATAAACTTTTGCAGATAGTTATATATAGTTAGAGTTAGGAATGCATTTCTAGAAATATAAACTGCTGGGTCAAAGAAACAGATGTATTTGAGGCTTTGGTCGCATTTGCCCAAATTGCCTTCTACAGATAATGCACCTATTTGATACACCATCAGCCATGTAAGAAAATGTCTGTTTCCTCCACAAGCTCACTTAGCACTGGGGATAATAATCTTTTTTTTTTTTCTGCCGGTTTAACGGGTGAAAATGCCATCTCGTTTTGCTTTAATTTTTGTTTCTGTGATCACCGTGAGATTCATTATTTGCTCTTGTTTGTCAAGTCGTAGACTTTGTGTTCCGTTTGTAACAATTCCACACTCACATCCTTTGTCCATTTTCTTATTGAAGCTGCTTTTATTTTCTCATGTATTTTCTAATCATTTGTCTGTCATACATTCTGTCAATATATCCTTGGTTTATATTGTCTTTTGAACTTGGTTTATAGAATTTTTGAAACATAATTTTTTTTTAAAGTTTTGGCCACACCAGGAAGCTTGTGGGATCTTACTGACCAGAGACTGAACCTGCATCCTTGGCAGTGGAAATGCAGAATCCTAACTGCTAGATCACCAGGGAATTCCTAGAATGGTTTATTTCATTTAGTCAAATCTAGTAATATTTTCCTTTATTGTATGTTTTCACTGCTTAGGTTTACCCCATTCTGAATCAGGTAAATATTTACTCTTTTTTTAAGCCAAATATGCTTCCTAAAATTCTTCTTATCTTCAGCATACTTGGAATTGAATAATCTACATGAGGCAGGGATCTGAAGCCATGTATTTTACGAATAGTCAATCCCAACATCATTTATTGACTGATCCATTCTTTTCCACTAATGTGAAGGTCCCCTTTGTTGTGGGTGGTAGTTCATGAGCCCTTACATAGCCAAGAAAGTCTCTGTTGACTATGTTTGACTGAGTATAAAATATTGAATCACAAATTTTTCTCTCAAAATTGTTGCATCACCTTCTAAAATTCAGTCTGTTTTCCATATTTTTCCATCCTCTGCAAAATTTTACACAGAATAGTTCTTTGTTTGATGAAGGTTTAGAAGACTTTACCTATCCACCTAAGATCTCACCATTTTAGTGGTAGATCTTTGTGATTTTCCCCCAAGCTCTGCCTCATTGATAGTTATGTCATGCCCACTAGATCATTTTTATTTCATTTTATTGTTATCTTTCCTATAAAATTATTCTGTTTATCCAGATTTTCAAATTCATGAACAAGAATGTTTATGTAATATCAGTATTTTGCTCACATTTCTGTTTTATCCGAGTTTAGATACTCTTCCTCCTGTTCTATGTCAACTATTTATTTTTTATCCCTTTTAATTATTGAGACTGTCAAAGGTTGCTTTGTACTCATTTCCAAAAAAATTAAATCCTAGATTTATTTACCAAGTCGCCTCCCCTTCTCTCTCCTCACTTAGTCATGTCCTCACTTAAATGTTTTCTATTCTTCTTTCCACTCTCCTTGGGCTAAATTTGTGGTCCTCTCCATCACTTCTTAAGTTGAATGCCAAGTCCATGTATTTTTTTTTCTTTCCTGCCTAAAGAAATTATTAAAGGCTGTGAATGTTCCTTAGGAGATATCTTTGGCACTATTCCATCACTGTTGATATGCTGTATTCTCATTGTTCATGCATTTGCCACAGTCTATAATTATAGTTTGTTTTGATTTTATGATTGTCGACTAAAGAGTAATTGAAATTCTTCCTTATCTCATCCAACATCCTTCTCAGTGCTCAACTTGCCTTCTTTGACTTTCTGATTCTTTTTCCAGCAGACCATGTCTTCTCAATGTCTGCCAAGGATACAAAATAGTTTCCTGAGGTTTGTTGTTTTTTTTTTTTTTTCTGGAGTCTAAAGAGATGTACCTTCATCATAGGTCTCGTCTCTTGATCTGCAATCTAAGATTTTTATTGACTTCTTTTTGTATTGTTCATCTTCAAGAAAATCTAAACTTATAAATATATAAATCTTAAAAAAAAATATGGGGTATTAGACTTGTTCTGGCCCCACTCTCTGTCCTTAGGGGTGATGGTTAAACCCCTTCCAGTCTTCATGAAGACAGACTGAAGGATGCAGTTCACAGCTGACCTGTTTCTAGGTTTCTAGCAGCTAATTCAGTTGATAGAGGGATCTATTCCACCTAGATAACTAGTTCTCTTATTAGATAAAGACACAGAGAGAAACCATAATGCAGTGACATGGGTTCATCCCCTTTTTTCTGTCTTCAGCATATCATTTGTGTGTTTTGAACTCCACAGCTTGGAATATGGCAAAATTAGTACACACACACACACACACACACACACACACACACACACACACACACATTTTCTATTGAAAATCCTGAGTTACTGCCTCTGCTTGAATGCAGTCAATAATCAGGGGTGGGAGGGGAAGTTCATCACTCTGGTTGCCTCCCAAGAAGGTTCTCTGCCCAACTTTCTGATTTTTACGTCTCCAGGGTCTCAGAGACAAGTGCAAGTGTTAGTCGCTCAGCTGTGTCCAGCTCTTTGTGACCTCATGGACTATAGCCCTCTGGGCCCCTCTGTCCATGGGATTCTCCGGGCAAGAGTACCCGAGTGGGTGGCCAGCCATTCTTTCTCCAGTGGATCTGCCCAACCCAGGGATTGAACCTGGGTCTCCTGCGTTGCAGACAGATTCTTTCCCATCTGAACCACCAAAAAAGCCCCATTTTTACGTCCCCACTGTTTTTTGTTTGTTTGCTTATTTGTTTGCTTTTTACATCCCCAGGATCTCAGAGACAAGGAGGACGTGCAAAGTACCTTCTTATGTTTCTTTAACTGGCCTTAGCTTCACTTAAAGAGCAGTAAGGCCGCTTTCTCTCAGCTCACTTCCATCTGCTTCAGAGTTAGTGGGACCCTCTCTTTGATTCTATATCACGCCGGCGGTTGTTCAGTCACCCGGTTGTTAGGCTGGTTAGATCTTAGTCTGAGGTAATTCTGCAAGCTTTTATCTCATGTCTCCATAGGTGGTCAGTGGAGAATTTAAAAGGCAGAATCAGAGCCTGAGAACCAGATGCCATCATCATGAGCATTTTTCATGTGTGGCTCTAATTTTCCTCTTGCAATAAATCCCAGTCTTCCTGCCACTCAATCCAGCCCCAGCATTTCTTGCTGGGAGCATTGGGAACGCTTCCTGCCTCTTCACTGTGTTCAGTCCTATCCCTTGCATTTTATCTTCCAGCCCAGTCACCAAATGCAATCCTCCTAAAGCCAAATCTATTTAGTCCCTTCCTCCTGTCCAGAACTCCCACTCAGCCATCCAAACCCTCCCAGAAATACCTATGCCATACAGCCAGTGATGCCCAGTTCCTCCGGGGTCGTGGGAAGGAGGGGTCTGGGCCTTCTTCTGGAGCCACCAGGTCCTAGCCTGCCTGAGAAGATGCAGCTGACAAAGGAAGCTGGTCCTACAGCTTCTCCACTGGTCTCCCCCGAGAAGAGCCACGTTAGGATAAGCTACGTAATTTGTGGGGCCAAGGCAAAGTGAAAATGCAGGGCCTTTTGCTGAAAATGGATTAAGAATTTCAAGATGGCAGCAACAGAGCACCAAGCCAAGAGCGGGCCCCTCCTGAATGCGGGGCTCTGAGAGCGTGGTCCAGGGCAGCCACCCACGGCTCCAGGTCTGGGCATTGCGTTTAGACCAACAGTCAAATGGAGCTGGAAACTTTGGAGTCTGCTGCTCAGCCGTGTGCAACCCTTTGCAGCCCCGTGGACTGTAGACTGCCAGGCTCCTCCGTCCGCGGAATTCTCCAGGCAAGAAAACTGGAGTGGGTTGCCATTCCCTTCCTCAGGGGATCTGCCCGACCCAGGGATCAAACCAGGTCTCTTGCATCGTAGGCAGACTCTTTACCATCTGAGCCACCAGGTAGAGATTGTGAGTCCAACTCTAACCCTTTCACAGTTCACTTGGAGAGTCAAATCTGAAGCTCAGAGAGGGTCTAGATGTTTGGCCAGACTCCTAGGGACTGGGTCTCTTGCCTCCAGGTTGAAGGATCCCCTCTCCTCTCTCTGCCCCCTGAAGCTGTCTGTCACTCACTGAACTGCACAGATGTGGATGGAAGGATTCTGAGCTCTGTACTGATCTCCAAACAGTGAGGCAGTATGGTGTAGGGAGAAAGTGTCCCAGACCTGGGACGAGATTTGGGGCCCTTGCTGCTGCTGCTGCAAAGTCGCTTCAGTCGTGTCCGACTCTGTGCGACCCCATAGACGCCAGCCCACCAGGCTCCCCCATCCCTGGGATTCTCCAGGCAAGAACACTGGAGTGGGTTGCCGTTTCCTTCTCCAATGCATGAAAGTGAAGTTTCTCAGTTGTGTCCAACTCTTAGCGACCCTATGGACCGCAACCTACCAGACTCCTCCATCCATGGGATTTTCCAGGCAAGAGCACTGGAGTGGGGTTCATTGCCTTCTCCGTTGGAGCCCTTACCCCACACCAAAAACACCCTGAATAACGGACAGGTCAGTCTCTCTCTCTGGGTTTTAGCTTG